TAACAATAGTAAAAACATTAGCCCTACCAATACTGGTGCAAATTCTGACAGTATTGCCAAATCCCTCTGAAATAATTTTCAAAACATTGGATCAAATAATTTTTAATTTTATATGGAATAATAAAATTGACAAAATAAAACGGACAACACTGATATCAGACTATAGTAAAGGAGGTCTCAGGGTGCCACAAATCAAATTGTTTGCTAAATCACTAAAAATGTCCTGGATAAAGAGATTTCTCGACACAAAAAACAAGAGTAGCTGGAAAAATATACTCGCAAACGAACTCAAAGAATATGGAAAAGAAAATTTTTGGAATCTAACAAGGGAGGGCTTAAGGTCAATAAAAATAAACAACAGTTTTTGGCAAGACGTAATTGAGTTATGGGCAGAAATACAGAATAACCCTAGTACAACTGTTGAAGAAATCCTCTCCCAACCAATATGGAAAAACGACAAGATAAAAATTAACCATAGAGCTGTATGTTATAAAAAATGGCTGCGAAACGGAGTTTTCTTCATTAATGATATTATTGATAACCATGGTAGATTCATATCACTAGACGAGCTTAATAGAAAATATGAACTAAATAGCAACTTCCTCAACTACATGAGCATCCAAAGTAGTATTCCGGTCCAGTGGCGAAAGGCCATTTTGAATAATGGTAAACGTTTAGAAAGCATCTGCATTAAGAACAGCAATGCAATGAAGAGTGTCCCAAAGCCGTCCAGATACTTTTACCAAAAATACATCCAAGAACTTGGAAAAGTCCCTCGAAAAGCAATAGACAAATGGCACACAGATATTGGGGAAATTTTAGAAGAAGAGAAATGGCATTTGATATTTAGATCGGTTTTTACCGAGATAGATGACACAAAATTACAAACACTGCAATTTAGAATCAATCATAGAATTTTCAGCACAAATTCATACTTAATGAAAATAAAGAAAAAAGAATCTCAGCTGTGCGAGTTTTGTAATATTGCAAAAGAGACAATATATCATGTATTTTGGGAATGTCCACATGTACAAAATATCTGGACTTGCCTTATTAATGCTATAAGGGAAAGTATGAAGATGAATATAGAGAGGCATCCCAAAGTGTTCTTATTTGGACTTGTACAACAATTAAAGATAGAAGGCCTGTATTTACCTACACTGATAACTAAGAAATACATAAGCATATGCAGGTCCAGATCCGAACCCCCCACTTGGGTAGGGTTAATACAATATGTCAGATGCTATAGAAATATTACCAGGTTCTCATTATACATGTATCCTCAAGCGAAACAAACTAACATACAACAGATTTGGCACAATATTGATAAGATATTAGCGGCATAACAAAACAAAACAGGTTATCATACGCATTTTTATTTCTTGCTTAAAATAAGATCAGTATCTCAGTGACTGAGCATCTGTATTATAAGTATTTGTATGCACTAATGTAGTGTATCGTTCTGTATTTGTACGGTAATGTGTTTTCTGATTCTGTGATGTATTAGCGGAATAACAAAACAAAACAGGTTATCATACGCATTTTTATTTCTTGCTTAAAATAAGATCAGTATTTCAGTGACTGAGCATCTGTATTATAAGTATTTGTATGCACTTATGTAGTGTATCGTTCTGTATTTGCACGGTAATGTGTTTTCTGATTCTGTGATGTATTTATGTTCCTGTATGTTTGTCTTCTTTGTAATGTGCTGTATTGTGTTTGTATATGCTTAATAAAAAATAAAAAAAAAATTGTGTACATATACTGTACATGTAAAATACAGTGTTTGAGAGAGAGAGAGAGAGAGAGAGAGAGAATAGTACTCACAGAGAGAAAAAGGGAGGGAGATATTGAGGGGGAAAGGGAGAGAGTAAGATAAAGGGAGAGAAACGGAGAGAGAGGGGGTGGAGAAGAACCAAACTTGCAGGCTACTTTCCTCTGGTAACGTGTATGTCGTTTTTTTATTCTTTTT